CTAAAGAGAAGAAAGATGGCAAGGAAAGCTAAACTATACTTTCATTCCACCTTACAGCTCGTTTAATTAATTAAATGTTCTCGCTTGAAGCAAGACCTCTGAGCTAAAGTCTAGAACTATTCAAGTCAACAAGCCCTGCGATATGGATTAATGTCGATGGGAAATGCATATCCTAACGTTGAACTGGCTGCGGCCTGACAGCGGTGTTACGGGACACCTGCTTTCTGCAGAAAAAAAAGTAAGCCTTGCTCGAGGCTTACATAAACGTTGAATGTGCCTTAAAAACGTTGATTTAAGACTCGCCGCGTTCCATGCTTTTGTTGTGCGAAATTTGTTTGCTCAAGTAGGCTTTGTTTCAACTATTGAAAGGCAAAAATTTAAGAAATGTTTAAAACCCTTTTCTTTTTAATTCTACAATCTAACTAGTTCCCAGCGCGTTCCGGAGTTTCTCTGCCCGCGGTCACGATAACCTGGGCGCGATGTATGATGGAAAAGGTCAGCAATTAGGAACAATTGAATGAGTTATTTACCCACGTAGGGGCCAAACCACCCCCCTAATGTTTCATGAACGCTATATTTGCTTGGTTTATATATTTCTGAACCAAGTTTGGCAGATGAGCTTTCTTTGTTCTCCAGTTTATTTTAATTTGGAAGTTGTGACAAAATGTCAGATAATGACGTCATAATTGATGACGTCACTAAAACGTGCTATAATGTTTCGTAAAATCTGATAAAAAAGATAATGTAATTGGAAAAGCCTTGACTTGAGGACTAAAATGCCGGAAACCGTTTTTTGCTTTAATGATTATTTTTTGAGATATGGTTAAATATTATTTTGTTGTCCCCCCCGGGTGACGTCACAGGTTATGACGTAACAAAACTAATTTTAACGCAATAACATTAGAGGGATAATTTTTTATTCCGATTTTCTTCTTTATTTTTGCTTCAGTCATCTGGTACACTACATCTGCAACATAGCAGCATTTGCTGGAACAAAATTACGGCTCCAATTTGGGGATTTTTCTCAAGGGGGGGGACCCCATATTTTGTAGAGTTATTTTTCATATTTAAAAATGTCATATTTCATTTAATTTTTGTGACATGGACAAAATGTTTTCAGGTCTCAACTCCCCTTGATGTGCTCTTTCGAACACATTGTAAAAAATATGCATATTAAAAACTTCAAAAGTAACAAAAAACATGACGTCATCACTGTGACGCCACAACTTTGATATTTACTGACATTTTTCACGCAAATATAATTGGCAATAGTTCTCCTGCTCATCTGCCAAGCTTGGTGTAGAAAGAGTCAATACTTTTTAAGTAATGCGAAATAATGTGAAATACCCAAGAACTGACGAAACATTTCGGGGGTGGTTTGGCCCCTACGTGACCGGTTTAGGGTCAGTTCATAGATATAGTGAAAAACTATATATGACCTAGCTAGGACTTGAAACAAGTATTCTATTTTCACCATTTCGAATGTAATTTCTGTCTTTTTTTTTCTTTTTTTTTGTGCAAGGTGTTACTAGCTGGTATCTTAGGAGTGATTCTGGTCCACACATCAAGTCCCTCTTCAACACTGGTAAGGCAGGTATGTAACGTTCTGGTTAAGGCAGTCATTTTTTCCTTGGCTCCTGTTTTGTGGGGAGTGCAACATTTTTATTTCTTTAAATGCTTATTGTATTATGCAACTAAGTAACTTGAAAACAGAAACCAAACAGAAACAGAGACATCTGCCGCGGGATACGGTTCATATTTTGTGGCCTTTTACAATAAAAACGTCGAGTTTTGTATACAGCGTTCAACACCGTTATATATTGCAGGACCTATAAAGTGAAACCTGTATTAAGCGGACCCCATATTAAGAGCACACCCTCTATTAAGTGGACACCAGCTTGAGTCACTAAATTTTCTTCCCACATTTACTGTAAAATAAACCTGCATTCAGCGGACACCTCTTTTAAGCGGACGCGGACACCAATATTAAGCCATTTTGCTGCACATAACCTGCAGTAATCGGACACTTCAGGGGATTTTTACTTCTAAAAGCTCAGCTTAGACTCCTTTAACATTGCTCAGTGATGTTGTTTTAAGCTAAGTAGATTATTCCAGATTGATGCATTGACTGTCTGGACATTGTACCATGAGCAGTCTTTGATCTTACACTGTGTTACACTGTGTTACAAAAGGGACAATAATTAACCATTATTGCTGAACGTGTTTAGAGCGGACACCCTGTATTAATATAAGCGGACACTAGTAAGGGTCCCAAAGGTGTCTAATTAATACACGTTTCACTTTATATCAAATCCCACCAGCAACCAGCCACCCCATAAAAAAAAAAACAGTCCTTATGTTGATCGTGTGAGAGTAAACAAAGTAGAAAAAATACAGCAAGACCAAACAAAAACGAATTC